AGCAGTAAAATATGTTTAAAACATAATAAAAAAGTTAAAAATAAAAAGAAATGCGTGCTCTGGACATATTTTGTCACTTAAAAATTAAAACAATTAATAATCAAAGAAATATTTATCATAAACATATTTAAAAAAATTACATGTTTTCATATATTCGGTACTGCAAAATTGGAAACGACGAAATCTTTTAAAATTTTACCTCTGTGTTCATTTAAGCAAAAAAGATGGTAATTTTTACGTATTAAGAATAGGTTTTAGTGTGCATTATTAATATAATTGAAATTGTTAAATTTAATAAAGTAATTAGTTACTAATTAAATAATAAAACTTATAATTATCATTAAAGTGTAAGCTAACCTTTTAGGTCAGATGATCTAACGACTAATGGAATGTAATGTACGGTTGTAAAAAAAATGTTCATTTAAACTAATACTTATTTAATAATAAATAAATAATTGATTTATTACTAAGATAAATAATAATAATAAAACAATAATTTATTTATTATATAACTAAAAATATAAAAATAACCTTACGATACTAATTAATTTTAAGCATGAAATAATATATAAAGAAAAATAACTCTACTGTAATCCCTTGGATGGACGGATCTGAGTTCAATTAATTATTCATCTATTAGTGTTATAAAAGTAACGATTTTTTAAAAATCTGTTTGATTAATTAAAATGAACCCGTTTTTGTGGGCGAAAGCTTACATGGATTTACGTTGAACATTTCATTTCCAAATACTAATTTATGAACCGTGTCCACTGTATACACAGAAATGTAATTCCTGTCTAGTACGCACATTTACAAAATGAGTTGAAACCTTTGACTATAGAAAAAAGGACTAGAAGCCGCGGATGTAAAAAAAAATTTTTAAACTTGTGTAACTTTTCGCGCTGAATGAAGTAAAGATAACAATCACAATTTGGAATACAGATCCTCGTATAAATTGTACCGTCTTTATGGACGCATACTGACTCAAAAATTTACACGCTTTCATAAAAAAGAGCTCACGAGCAATTTTATAAAATATTATAATTTTTATTTGACATAGCAGAATGCGTGCTCTTGAGTGATCCTGTCTCTGAAAAGTCAAAGGTTAAAACATTCGAATCGTTTTAAATAATTGATCAGTATCCGCCATCCCGCCGCAAAACATTTTTGTTTCAATGGTAACGAATTATTCACGCTCAAACTATGACATGCTGCTAATTTAACCAAACAACTTACTCGAATGTGATTAACATACCTATGAGTTCATAGAGAAAAAAAGAGATTCAACTTTATAATACGATTTAAAATAGAATAATGAATATAAAATTTTGTTAATAAATGACAAACAATACGAACATCAAAGTGTAACAAACTATGACAAACACAATTATCACTAATAAAATACATACAACAAAACACAACAAATATTGTTTTCTTTACTTACATGTTCACTTTTCTTGTGAAGGGTTGAGTATGTATAATATAATAACTTTATAAGGCTTAACGTCGTCATACTCGTACCATCTAATTTAATCAAACTTTGCGACGAGACGCAAAGGTGGATTACTTTGTGATGACATACCTATGATATGCTTTTAATATTTAATATAAAAATCCGGTGCAATTTTTAGTTGAACAAAACGGTTTATACTTAGACGTAATTTTGTTATATAAGTACGATTAAGTGATAAGAATTTTTTATATTCAGAAATATAATATTTGTAAATTAATTTGTTGATTAGTTGATATAAATATAATTGGATGTATACTATATTGAGTCGTGATTTTTAAGATTTGGATTCAAAAAATGGCCGAAGATCTTTACACTTTCTATGCTAAAGCAAATCAATTTAAATGCAAATTAACACATACTACTATGGATTACATTGGAATCAGATAGAGTTAAAAATATATATTATTTATTTAATTTAAAGTACTTTGGATATAAAAGATAAATAACGACCAATGCGAGTTTTACCATTGTCATTGTTTTCTTAGTGTAGTAAATTAAAAATTTAAAAAATAGTGTAACGATTTGTGGTTAAATGTGAATGTAACTTATGTACACATATTGTCTCTTTTATTCTTGTTGCAAAAAACAGAGACAACATGTGTCAATACAGTGGAATACACGCTGAGTAGAATTGTCAAAAAAAGAATAAACAAAACAAACGAGTTGTATGTTGTAAATGAAAACTCACACATCCTCGCTTATGTATTTATTTAGTTGTTGTAATATAACGTGTTATGCAATATGAATCGAAATATTAATTAATAAATAAATATTAAGTAGATATTAAATTTTAAAAATTAAAATAAATGTAATGCGCAAAATTTCGTTCATATCAAAATATATCACGTAATTGATTTTTTTATCTGCGGACTAAATTCGGAAAAATATTCAATTCGTGTACATATACAGAAAAGTTACAAATATACACAAAATTGTTGATAAAATATTCCAACAACATTTTCTTCAGATTTATCACAAAGGAAAATGAATTTCACGTTTTCATATTACAAATCGCAGTCGTCTGCCGGCTTTATTCGTTTTGTTACACGAAACCTAATCATGCTTGCACTCCACGTGAACATAAGTACGATGTGCATATTACATACGAACTTCTTCAATAGTATTAAAACGAAATGCTGTACGATGCCACATCATTAGCACAGTACAATAACGTTCAAAGCGCGCTTTCCTCGCAATTTAATAATTCTCTGTCGTATAAACCTGCTTGATACAGCCAAAGCGTGTAATCCTGCAATTAGTTCCGCAATTTATTTTCTACGATATACAAGTTAGGAAATGTCATTCACATTAAACAATTTTCTTACAATTTTATTAAAGTTAAAATTTTTGTTGTGATTAATGATTCCGTAGTTGATTGTTGTTTGATAATTGACGCATTTTTCATATAAACCTAAAGATTTGTTGCAAATACTATCTGGTGTCAGAACTTCAAGCCACATAAAAGTGACCTTTTCGTGACTTCGTTTAACCCCACATAATCCCGCATTCAAGCGGCACAAATTAAAAATGTTTGACGCAATACGAATTTCCTCATTTGTTTCTACTGTAAAATTTTGTAAAAAGCATTTCAAAGTTGCATTAAAAATTCACTGAATTATTTATCATACGGACACTTCAAAAATCAGCTTTACTACTGAACGTTGAACTTGTATGTACCAATTAGAGGGTTACAAATCTAAGGATGCAAGTTTAGTACGTCTTTCTTAATAACGCCTCAAAAGAACTCTAAAAGAATCTGAAGAAATATTAAACTTAATGTTTTGATAGAAATGTAGTAGAGCAAACGCGGAACTCACATTGGGCTTATTGATATAATTCACAAAACAATTCAGATAATGAAATTGTTCAATCATCATGGAACAGAATCGTTGTCTTAGGTTCTTCGTACACAACGCAGCGAAAAGTCGAAAGTCACACTGTATAGTAGTCGAGTCGAGTGAATCGCGCGCGCTCCGTACACAAAATTTTCAATCGTCGACGCGAGTTGTCTATTCGGTACATACTGGCATAGACATTGCACTGCCACTGTGTAAATTGCAGCGATTTGCGATATGGACAAACAGGTTGCGATGGATTGGATAGATAGATAGAAATGTCGACGACGCGCTGTGTACGAACGTCTATGATATTATATTGCATATATCGCTTAGCAAGTACGTAGGTTTGTGTACGAAGGCCCTAATGGACAACAAAGGAGTTTGCTTTATAATTCCTAATTCATCAAATATCAATTATCTCAAAGTACGTTGTAGTAGCGAATACAATCATAGGATTTATTTTATCTTTCGGAAGATATGTTTTTTAGATTGTATTTGTTTCCGATTATAAAACTTGGTTACTGATGTCTTATTTAGATTGACAGATGGATAAATATATATTTTAAACGAATTTTTCATACTTCATAAAATCTCAAAAAATCTTAAAATAATGTATACTAATTAATATGATAATTGGTTGTCTGATAAGTTCGTTCCGATTTTCAATACGCAGCCTAAAAGAGACCTGAACATATAATAATAAAAAAATTAACATATTTTTAGAGAAGTTAACTTTAGATATATTTTGAAATTTTTTGTTTATACGATTATTTCAAACAGTTTTATAAGCTTTAAAATATGACTGAAAATAAAGTGCATTTAGGCATTTTTGATTTTTCCAAAAGGTCTCTACTACAACTGCTATATACAAGTGCTAAATAGTAAGTATTGTTTACGGCAACAGTGCTGTAGCCAAAATAAATCTACGGAATTGTATTCTTTTTGGGTTTTTCATGATTATTAATCATTATAAAAAATCCTATAACTGAATATTTAGTAACATTGTTAGAGAAAAAAATTGATTTAAGTAATTTTCATCAAGCAGCAAATTTTATTAAATGTATACCAAAATTTAAATGAGATTCAATTATCCTTAAAAAACGGCACGAACTTTTCGAACAACCCGAATATTAAAAATTTAAAAAAAATCTTATACTAGAATATCTACTAATTTACGACGAAATACGCTAACATTTAACGCTTGGTAAGCGACTTATAACGTAAGTTAATTAATCTTATCAACTAAGTGCATCCTTAATTAACAAAATTGTTAGTGATATCTTATTTTAGGTTATATTAAATACTACTTAGACTAATATACATATAATTTATTTAAAAATGTAAAAACAATAAATGTTTTAAAAAAAATCATTAGTACAGACAGGGAATTTAAAAATTAACGATTTTTTTTGACTTTCAAAATTTTATTAATGACTCTTTTTATTACCAATATTCCGTTGTTTAATTAATTGAGAAAATATTTTTGTTAACAATTATATTAAAAACAATTATGTAATAATTCATAAACAATAATTTAAAATTAATTTTAATCTTCATAACATTACAAATTTTACGTGAAATTGTAATTTTTATATCGCATTTATAATTTTAAGCAGACTTCAAAATGAACAAGGTTATCAATTCGTCTGTATGTTTTTATATTTGTTATCGCGTAACTCCGCCCCTGGTGAATTTTGAAATTATTTTTTGATCGAAAGGTTTTACTTGCAGTTGGGTCATATTTTTTTTATTATTTTTTTTTTATTTTCGTATTATACAAAATATTCAGTAAGTATTATTTCTTTAACAGATTACCAGAAAAATTGTACGTAATAATAATTATTGTGAAATATATTTTATTCAATAATACTGTGGATTAAAAAACTCGGTTTTAATAATATTCAATATTAATAGTTAATTATACGCTAAACTACAATAACATAATATATTCCAAACGTTCCAAAATTATCAAACACACAATTAATATAATTTTGAATTTATAATGCGTGTCTGGATACTACGTTAAGTTATGCTAAAATATTTAGAATCTAGATTACACGTGATTTTAAATCTAACAATGATTACATCGCGAAATGTACTAATACTTAACTAGTCTTTTTATGGAAAAAGAAATTATTCAAATGTTTTTAAATGCCTAAAGTACAACATACAATATCAATTATAAATACATATTAGATGCACATATTTTAACTGTAATTAAAAAAGAAATCGAAATTCGTAAAAAACAATTCAATGAAATTCTTTTAAACAAATTTCTTTAAATTAAACACAATAATTATATTCATTTTTACGATAATAATTGATTCATATCTTAATATTTAAAATGGAAACTTAATAATCGTTGTATATGCTAAATAATTTTTAATCTACAGACAATCATTAAATTAGATCAATTAATCACCGTGGGTTTCTGACATCCAAAATCTCTTTATTAAACATAGCGTCATCCTTGTCATTATCATTGACAATATAGAGATAACAATATGTTTTAAACGGAGATAATAAACTAAGAAACCCAGGGTTAATGGTTTAAAGTGGCCGATTCATTACTATGAATAAATTTCTGAAGATGTAATTCAAAATTTTTCTATGTAAAGAAATATTTTGAATTCTTGGCATATTAATTTTTTAATTAAATTAATTCAAACAGTAGGTAATAAACTTTTTAAAATTACAATTGTATATCGATGTTGAACTTATAAAATCAGCCACGGCATTAATGTTCATAAGCACTTATTCAACAAAGTTGAAATATAATAAACTTTGCTCAATAAATGTTGATGTAGTCCGGACTATCATCTATAAAGGTGACAGACCTTTCTCAGAATCTATTAGTTGACTCGGGTTGTTCGGGTGGGTTGACATTCATTGCCATATTATCGTAGGAAAAGTCTAAGGTAGTGTCTTCAGCTGGATGTCTGTTACTAATAGCGGTACTGACAGTTTTAGGCGTGGTTGCACCTTGGCTCTTATCCGTTTGTGAGGTTCTCGTTTCAAGATCTTTTACATTCAAGGGCTGGGCGGTACGTTTTGCTGGTTCAGGATTTCGTATTTCAAGTTTGAGCTCGTGTTTCGGTCTCGGAAAATCTGCGTGCGCGTTGTGATGAGTGAGGTCGCCTGGGAAATGCTTGATCTGATTCTGGAAAATAATAAATTACTTTTCTAAATTTAAAAGTGACAAGTTTAGTGACATACGTAATGATAGATCACAATATATGTCATCCTTTTATTAACATGACAAGAAATGATGATGTTAATTCAATCTTAATTTAAATAAAGATAACTTTGTTTATAACCGCGACTTATACGTTGTACAAAAATAATTGACATTTACAAAACAGTTTCGGAATTTCCCAATTCGATTATTCTATAAAAAAACTCACATGTCAATTGCTATTAAAAATACACTATTTTTAAAAAACAACCGTATTCAACATATAAATATCCTGCGACGTTCTTTTGTTATTTATATGATTAAAAACAAAAGACATTCCTCGAACCAGGAAATAATTCTTATGTTGATCTTTAAACAAAGAACCGGTAAACTTTAACAGAGATACTAGTTCTTCAAGTTTTTAGTACAGCGGTAATGTAGGTATAAACAACGGATTTTTCCAATTCCGAATAAAGGGTAAGGTGATTTTAATAAATTGAGCAATATTTACACCATAACCTTGCCTTACCAATTCTACACTGAGCCTTGGTTACATACATTAGACGTAAAACTATAATTAAATCTTCACCTTGATTCCAAAATCTATAACATTAATTAACAAAGTAAATGACACATAGAAGACAGAAGAAAATGAACTTAAGAGAAGCTATAGTATATATGATTATTAAAATTATTACCTTAGGTGGTTGAAACCTTTGTTTAATAGACCTCCATGTGATCTTCCTTTGGCATACGATGATCAGAACAAGAAGCAACACCGCCAAAGCGACGCCGCTCACAATCAGCGCCGTCTGCGCTTGACGCTGCGCACCTAGATAATCGTATATAAAGTTAAAAACACCATAGTAACTAGTGCTTAGATTAAGGACGTAAATATTTCTGCCAACAATGTATGTACTTTTACAATTATTTATATTAACCTTTGTAGTTCGTCTTTGAGACAATTTTTTATGGATTAACAAACCCTCCGGCACATTTAAGGACCAATTAAAAAATAAATCTTTCTACGTATAACCTTTTGTTTGGCCCTTATGTCTCAGTAATTTAAAACAATAAATAATAATAACATTATTTTTAAATAATCAAGGTATCAATACTCCAAAGAATTATTAAAAGTAAAATATCTAATAATGGTTTTATGTCGAAAGCAAAGCGTAAACAATAATCAAACAACGCCAGCATTTATCTCCGGTAAATATGTTCATTGGAAATCTGTACTGTACACTAGGTAGGCAGCGTTTTCACTGTTTGTACTAACTACGCTGTCTGTGGCATAATATTAATTTAGTAGTGGCGAAATGAACACGATCGTTAATTTGAATTGGCATCGTATTATTTGTTGTTGTTGATGAGATCTCATTCTGTTTGTAGGCAAATTTTGGATTACCTAAACCTATCTTACTATTTGAAATATTCACCATTAGTTACTAAAACTAAAATCCCTATATAAAACATATCGTTATCCCTATCTTTACAAAATATAGACATATAAATAGGTTTTAAAATTAGATTTGAGTCTCAGAAACGCACGGTTGAAGAATTATTGTACTTATTTCGTTATAAAGCAGGTTTTAACATATATTTATAACTGGTTGCTAAGAAAGTCAAATTAAAATAATGCAATATATAATGCGTTATGCAAAACAAATCTCTTTCTTTACTATGTTAACACGTTGAGCGCCACGTCAGCCATCGGTAGCTGACAGCGTGTAACAGACTTAGCACGTAACGTGTTGAAACAAAGCCTATAGATATAACGTTAAAAATGTAAACTATTTTGTACTGCGATCGGAAACACCGGCCCTTTAATACCAGTGCGTAGAAGCGGCGCTTGTGGCCTGAAAGGGATTGTCTTAGAACTACGCGTGGCGCTCAACGTGTTATTATAATTGTAATATCATTTGTTTTTGTCTAAGGTAGACACTTAGAGGTGTGGGTCATCACCAAGATAGGTAATTTGCCGTCACATCCAATACACTCCTCCAACTTTGAGAACGTCGGACTAACTTGTAAGAGACTCATCTATGTACCATCCTAACATGTTTCGTATAGAAAACAGTTCAGGGCTTATTAAAAGCCTTAACGAAGTCTATCTAACGAAAGTTAACTAATATTAGTGGTAATTTAGTAACAAAAAACACAAATATATGTATACAAATATAGTAGAAGTTTAGAAATTATATGGATGAAATAAAAAGAAATCGACAATATTATTAAGCACATTATGTAGCTCGCATAGCATAGCAATTATATAAATAATTTTACTAACTACAGTGCAAAATAGATTAAATGAAAATTCACTACAACATCATCGCAATACTAAGTACCCAGGTAAAGTCAGATGCTAGTAAAACTTAAATACAAAAGGAAACAAAAGTCTGAACACAAATAGACTAATTAGAGCAGAAGTATTTAAAGTATAAGACATTTTTTGCTTTTAAATAACAATTCGTATTGTTTTTATATTTTCAACAATTTCATCTATATCAATCGAATAAGATAGCATTTATCATATACTAGTCATTTGTTTAACCCAAAATGTATTTCTTTGATTTTCTGAATTCATAACAAGTCCCTATAGATATATTATTACTAATATATATAAACCATATTCATCATCACCATCATCATCAGCTCACTATACGTCCCCACCGAGGGGCTCGGAGCATACCCCAAGTTAAGGGTGATAAACCATATTATTTCTTTCTAATATTATAAATGCGAATGTTTGAAAGGATGGATGTTTGTTTAAACGTATCTCCGGAACTGCTGCATAGATCTTCGTGAAATTTGGGAAGAAGGTACTAATTATGGTTGGTCGAAAAATACATAAATCATCCATCAACCATTGAAAACGATCTATATCATCTGATTAACCACTTTTGTTCTTTATATTAGTCCATTTAAACCACAATTCGATATGTATTGCTACAAAAACTGTACAGGTGAACTTTTTGTAACAATCGCACGATGGCCAGATCGGAGTGGCTCACGTAATTGGCGTCGGTATGTTGCACGGCGTTGTAAACCCAGCTCAATATTGTTAAATATTTATCTAGGCGCTGCGAAAATGGACGCACAAACAGACCGCATGGTTATTAATAAATATTGGTAGGGGGAAAGTTGCTGCCAGACACAAAAAGTTTTCAATGCACGAGTTTATGAATTGTTGCGAGAATTTGAATTTCCCGTATTGTCTTTATTTAATAAATTGGTCCAGAGTGAAACATGATAGAGTAAGAGAGCAACTTTTTATATAATGTATAGGTTTTTTTTTCAAGTAAGGGAATATAAGTGATTTTATTATCATAAATGTTTACAAATTGGACTAAAATATAATGTATCCTCCCTCCACCCACTGTAAACAACGATAGAAAAACAACGTAAATAAAATGAATAATACTCTTCTGTTTTCAATGTCTAATAAACTAAACTAAACTAAATGGAAAATACATTTCTTAAAACAAAGGTACAGTATTTACTTAATTAAATAGCAAAGCAAAACAAAACACAGACAGAAAAATAAATAATTAAAAGAATTCGCTGAATAATTGGAATACGAAGGGCAGAATAAAGTTCGCAATTAACGCAATATTTCTTGGAATTACTCGTTCAGAGTAACTCTCTTCAAATGAATAATTATCAGTGTTTAAATATTTAAAACATATTTTATATCAAATAATTTCTACACATATTTTGGCATAATGGACGTTACCTTTGTTGTTTATAAAGTTATAATGAGGCTATAAAATAAGCCGTTCGTGGTATTAAAATATTTAAAAAATGTTGTCAAATTCGCTATAGCAGAGCTCAAGTAAATTGATAATCGCATCGATTTTTCACCATTTACGTTATTGCTTACCGTGGGTTTCTGAAACCAAAAAGTTTGTTTAAAATTTATTGTTATCTCTGTATTATCAAAGATAAAAGACTGGGATGACCATATTTTTATACAGAGATACCAATGTCTTTAAATTTTAAAGAGAGTTTTTGGTTTCAGAGACCTACGGTTACACTGATAAAACAATCATATTCTATTTCCAATATGATCACATTTAAAGAAAGTATAAAATTACTTACTATCAGTATTCGAATTTGGCGGCTCATACTCGTTTCTCCGTAAATATCTCAAGTCCAGAAGATAACCTGAAAAAAAATATTTAGAAATTATAGTGAATTTAAAAAATAACTTTACAATAGAGTAATTCACAAGCTAAAAAACTGTTGTTTTTTGATAAGTAGGTTATTTTTTCATTGCGTACTTATGGATGAATCATTTTCCTCAATCAGTTTTCTATTGTCGTACCGACGGTTGCTTGGAAACTAGTATTGATTTTATAACAAAGTAATTATCTTCCGCTACTCCGCCATTCTGATGATATCTTTCAACAAACATCTAACATCTAAACAAAAGTCATGAAGCCAAAGTCGCTCGCAACTTGCAATTTTCAAGATGGCGGAGCAAATCTATACAGTTGACATGTAGTCACTAGGCGTGTACTGATCGGGTATACGACTCGCGTCGGCGATTTAATATCGTGTTTACTAAACGTGCGCGACGATTCTCGCGATGCAACCATAGAATATTGGTAGATTTCCTTTGCTTTGTGTACAAAGGGGGCCTTACAGTTTTAAAGAGAGAAAAGAGTTGAAGAGAATTAAAATACAAGCAATACAAACATTGACGCGTCTAGCAAACAATGCAAAGCACCCCAATAGACAGGTGCCTGTATATTTATCTGCTCCTATACACACACTCACACATACTCAACATAAGGGATTAGCAAACATGGAACACGGGTAACGTCGGCATAGGAAGCCAACACAATTTAAATAGCATTGAAAATAATTTTAGTACTTTATCAGACATAAAACGTTTTCCAGATAAATCTCTTTACTTCGCAAATGTCGAGTACCGTTCAAAAATAGATCGAGTTAAGCGAGAGCGTATGCTGAAAAGGCAAAGTTATCAAACGAAAAGTTACCAAGCATTTTGTTGTACCTTTTATTCACAAACGGATATCACAATTTGTTTCAAAGCTATGGGAAGGAATGTATTGTATTGTACTTTGTAAAGCCGTGATGCACCTGCACACTCAAACAAGTGTAATGCACACAAACGTAGCAATGTTTTTTACGTTAACGCTACTTGCACGTGTGTGTAATGCGACTGTGTATACAGCGGTACCTGTCGGAATCAACAGACCATAAAGTGTATGGGTATTGTTGCTTCCCTTACCAATGATCCGTTTCTACGCTTCGTCATACTTTTCCAATTTCAATTGATACTGTTCCAACGTTTTATAAGATAATTTGGTACATTTGGAAATCTAATCTAAGTTACGATTTAAAAACGACTTGTTTTATTAGCCGACTTAAAAAATTAGGTTAGAAATTCGCCTATTTTTTTAATTTTCTTCTTCAAGTTTGCTAACAATGTAAAAATAACTTAAGAGATTATTTTTCAGATTTTAATGATAAAATATGTTCGTGTATCTAACGGTAGGTTTTATTTAATTGATCCAATGATATATATTTTTTGATATTGTGAACTGTTTGCTTTTATTTTGTACAATCTAATATTATTTGAATTCAAAATAGCTAATGTATTGTTTACGCAAAGTAATGAACATGTTTTATTTTTATATCTTAAGGAGGGACACCTCCTCCTCCGCCTACGTAAGTCCAATAAATTACCTATATTATCAATGGCAAAACATGGAGTGCCAGTTATAAAAATAACTTTAATAATGTTCCCCCGTAACAACGTTTTTACATTCCGTTTGCTTATTTATCTCTTTCCTTGTCTATTTATAAACGGAATGAGGATCCCTTATAATATTTTCATATAAAATTGTTATGACGTAGAGCTCAGAAATATTGTAAATTAATAAGTTTAATCTTTAAAGGTTGGTAATGAAAATACTGGTGATAGAGTTGTTTGACCTGAAACTTACGCATTCTTCCATCAACAACAGAGAGAGACAGGTATAGTATAGAGAAGACTGAGCACAGGCGGTCTGCGGTCACAAAACTGGTTGTTCAAGTTGTCATTGCACATGATAAGGAATCTTATGACACATAAAATAGAGTCAATATTTGTTTGTAGACAACATGACTGTGCTTATTATTATTGCATGTAGATAAGTCTTAGTCATCAGCAAACTACTCGGCATAAGCCCTTTCGAAGGCTTTCATTGGATAAAAGTCTTAAAGGAGTCTTACACAATAAGTTCGAAACAATATAAATCGATATCCGACTTAAATTCAGATTACACACATCAAAACATTCAGAATCATTCCAAATGAAATTAGATAAATTAATTTAAAAACTTTCTTCTTTTGTTTTATTAAACTGATAGAAACATCTTCCAAATCTGGGAGCCGCGTTGACAATTAATAAAAATAGGAAGCAATGCTTTGAAGTGGAAGTAGATTTTAATAGCAGTACAATACTATTACAAAGCCATAAAGCTTAGTGCACACATATCCCAATCCTAGGGCACCCCTGAGAGAGGTTTAACTGAATGTTATTACGCCGGTCTTAGGCCGGTGCACTTTGGGAGCTAAGCAAAATATCAAAAGATTATACAAACTAAAATATTCTAACTGAAATTATATCGTAAAAAACTACTCAAATCTTTTATTTTATATTGACCAGCTGTTTTATACAATATTTTAAGACTTAATTTTATTAATTTTTTAACATTTTCGATCTCAATGAGTGGTTTAATAATTAATATTATAGTAATAAGAGTAACGTCTATTTTGATATGGACATTTGTGAACACTTTGATGATTATGCGCTCCCATTTGAAACAGATAATCGTATTCTCGTGCGGTTTTCTTTGACGAACCGAATCGTCATACGTCTGGTTTTGATGCTAATTGTTTTGATTCGAGAATTAGCTTCTATTAATCTGCCTAATTAATAAATAAAAAATAATAAACGGATCATGAATTTATCAACTTTTGTCTATCCTTCTCTTTTCACAGCAACTGTCCCTTATTTATATAAAAAGTCAATGTTTCTGCACGACTTACTACGGCGTATATTGATAAACATATAAGATAAAGTGACTCAACTGGTGTTTGTGTGATAAAAAATTATGACGAATTCACCATGAACGAGATTTATTAACAAACTAACCTTGACACTCCTTAACGCACAAGCCGGAGTCGTAGTTGTGATGTGTTTTGTTGCAAACAGCCGAGCAGGGGGCACATCTGTTTGTTTCTGGTGAGCAGTATTCTTCGTAAAGGCAGGTAAGCTGACCGCATTTGACACCATCCATCGTAAGCTGACTAGATGCTGCGCCGGCGACCGCCAAAAGAATAGTGAAGCGTGACATCGTCTGATCTGAATTAAAAAAGTAAAAAATATCAATTAGCATTTCTCCTTGTTACCTATATTGTATTTGATTTAAATAACTATTCAGAGAATTTATTTGGATTTGAAACCATCGTTTACATCAGTCCATTAATATAGAATCTTGATACCTAAATATTTTATTTACACATACTCATTTTAATTAATATTATTTGCTATAAAATACATATTAAATAGCTTCATAAAAGTTTTGTCCGATCTTAGAACTTAAAATATGAAAATAAATAAAATAACTATAGAAAAAGTAACTTATGACATCCTCCATTATTTAAAGGAGTCATAAAAATATTTACAAATTATGCTCGGCGACGATGAGTCACACAGGGGCCGACCTAACAGGTGCTTAATACAGACGACGCCAACACGGCCTATTCAAATACCTTCGGAATTCAATAAGCCATGTAACAAAATTTGGCGCCATATACGATAAAAAAAGTCTTTTACCGAGTTCCCAAAAAACAATAGAAACCTACAGTAATATGTTGTATTGTCGGAACATGTTCTAACAGGTTGATACTTACCAGAATTTTTTTATATAACTATACTTTAGGAGCATTCAATCAAAAATTGTTACAGTTATAAAAAAATACCAACACATCAATAGAACGTATAGGATCGTCAAATATCTCATTAGTCGAAAAAAATATCAAAAGATTTATTTATATGTTTTCCTTTTCTGTGTTGAAAATTGCTAGCAAACGTATTACGTCTTATTTATTGTCCCTTAGTTCGTGTTATTCAGATATAAATTTATATTAACATGTTAGCGATGGAGTAACGTTCTCAAAAAATATGAACAAAATATACTGACCCATCACACGTTCATGTTTTAACGTTCCATAGTTTTTAATTAAAAATCTAAAGTAAATATTTCGATGGTATTTCGTTCATACTTAAAATTAGCTTTTAAGTTCAATATTTTCATGTATTTTATTTTCTGTGTAACTATAATTAAATTAATTTCCAGGTGACCGCTCGTTTGCTACCTTTTATTATTAATAAAAATCTTTTTTTTTATATTTTAAAAGTAATATTTATTTATCAATTGGGATATATTTTAAACACTTAAAATAAGCATCTTCGTATAAAGTACCGTACATTTTAGAGTGTGCTATTAAAACGTTAAATTGTAAAGGTCGTAAGCGACTTTACTTGAATAGTAAAATGTATGAGTCATAGAAAATATGGAAATGAATCGTGACCAATGTTGATAAGTTTAATACATGGTTTATTAAAATATTTATAGTATACATATAAATATTTATATATACTTAAGTATTTTGTTAGTTTATCTACTCAACAACTAGTAGAAATTTTTATTATAAAAAAGTTAAATAACATAAAAATATCAATAAAATATCCATGCAAATGTATAAAGTAAGTATACATTATTTGTATTGAAAAATATTATCTTACTGTACTAATTAATACACCCCTTAACCCACACCCTTAACTTAGGGTAGACTCCGAGCCCCTGGGTAGGGAGGTATAGTGAGCTGATGATGATGATGTACTAATTAATATGAAAATATATATTGAATTTGAGTCAAAATAAATTAATTTTGAAGAGTAATATACAATTAAAGAATGATATTAAATACATTTATATTAAATAATACTACTGGCATGAAAAAAGTAATTAAAATAATTTATACATTTTTTAAAACACACTAGTTGTCGCTACATGTTTAAATACTATCACAATAAATTTTGATAAACTGCAATATAATATTTAACTATAACTTTATAATAATTAATATCTGAAAGATCGTGAATATGAAGTGATTCTATTAGATTTTATTTGTAGGCAGATTAGTCATCAACGTAGCAAGAAAACAGGTTGAATGTTTAATATAATTTACCTGGTAATATATCAGACGAAGGCGACACTATATCACTAGGTACAGTACAAAGTATCTTATTCAGGGTGGAAACATTGTTTTAAACATCTCTGAGAGCTTACACATGTTTACAACACGCTGGGGCATAACACTCGTGAAGACTACAGTTTTTACTGCGGTTGCTAGGCAACCAGCGACAAAGGAACTCGTAACATTATGGGGCAAGAAATTAACATCCTTAACTTTTAGAAAGGTGACAAATACCAACATTGAAGAAAAATTATGAACTATGAAATGTAATTAATAAAATTTTTATGTACGAAATATTAAAAAAAACCTTTTTTGGAACATGATCACTGCTTTCCTTATAACAAAAAATCAATACTTTTTGACGGTCTCTTTGTCCGAAAGTCGAGTCATCTCCGAAACGTTTGAATTTATTTTTACAGGACTTTTACTGGAAAATAACTAATGTATAGTGGAGTTACTAATACTATTTTTCGCTAGCAACAGATAAATAAAATTCAAGAATTTCTGTCAAGAAAACAACGAATGTTTTTCAAGAGTAAACAAATTAATTGGCAATTATCAACGGATCATATTTAATCCGCTCGCTTCACTTGCTCCTCAATAAAAGAAGAGTAATTAGTGTATTTATTTGATACGTGTTTATGACAAAATATATAACATAATGAAGGTAACAAGAATATGAAGAAAATTTAATTTTACAATATATTACGAAGAGCGTATGCAATTAATTTGCCTTCAAGGCACCAAAGCAAAGGTAAAAGGGGAACAAAAGGAACTTCAAACATGAACATCATGCTAACAAAATGACTTCAAAATTATAATTTAAAACTATATTATGGTCAGTCTCTAGTTTTTTTAACTAATATTGGATAAGTAGTTTTATGGGTATAGTATTACGACGATTTAAACCAAACCTACTAACATTTTACTTCAATAAGACTGTAATAACAAACCGAACCTTAGTATCATGAGTTAAGGCTCTAATTCAATTAAGAGTAAATTACATTGTAAGCCAGTGACAAGTGTAAAAATAATTTCTCATTTCCATTGCATTAGACATTGTGTATATCAATTCCACGGTGACTTTCTGTAGTCTAAACAACTACAACTAAACTAACACTACAACTAAACTAAACTAAACGACTAATACTAAATGACAACGGAGCGTCATCAGGTACAGTTAGTCTGTATTATTGACTTTTAAATAAATAAGTCTAGTTAGAATACAATTTTATAATTAATGACTGAATGATTCTTTTGTCTCGCCGAATATCGATTTAATGTTTTGTTCTTTCCATTTTTTTTGTTTATATCAACTTTGTCTATCTCCCAATGAACTTGTTAGCATATTAGCGAGTTAGTGAAGATGTTTAGGTTATATACGTGACATGAGAGTTATGCCGTGATCTAACCACCAGTTCACCTTGAAACCTCAGCGTTCGATCACGTACAAAGTCTGTTTTATCAATGATTTTATTTTCGTAGTACAAATTACGATAATCTTCACGTAACTAAGATTTAAACACATTTACAAAACACGCTTAACAGTGGTAGAGCCCGCTTTAACATCTTCGGACGAATTGGCCCGGCTCGTCCGGTGAAATACCACGACCACACAGAAGACAGGTGAAGTGGAAGCAATTCCGCATTTCGTCTGACGAGAATGCGACCCGGAGGCCTAATTTAGTCCTCTTTCCCTACCCACCCTTTTTCTTTTAAGGAAAGGATGGGATGTGTAAGTGGACTTTCCGGATGAGAGGATGCATGAAAAAAGAAAATATTTCCTTTCTGTGCATCAGCTCCTCCGTCGATTAAAGATAGGCAACGCATATGCAATTGCGTATGTCTATGGGCAACGGTCGCTTCGTTATTTCAGCGATTTCAGGTGGCCGCTCGCTCGTTTGCCACTTTATGATATAAAAAAACGCGGTACGACTTTTTTTACATATGTAAAACAATTATGTACCTATACAATGGTTAAAACAACGTATTATGTTTCTATAACAATATTTTATTATTTACGATACCTTTATTAAATTCAAAAGTATCCCTGAGATAAAGCGTATTTATTTAGTACCATGAGAGTTTTTTTTAATCCCCATAATTGGAAACTCGTTGTTGTTAAAAGCACTTCCTTCGTTTTACTACTCGTAAATACTCTTAATACAAAAAGGTTTTGCGCAGCATAATATTTCTTTGAAGCTTAATAAGTTATTTTTGTACGACAAGGTTGAAGATAAACTGGAATTTCAACTTCCCCATTAAATAAAGTACCCATAAGCAACATTGTAATGATTCAGGTATTATTTTAAGTCATCGATAGCTACAAAAACATTAAGGAAAGAGACATGGTGACTATAAAATTTATTGTTTTATCTCATTTGTATGCGAATGAAGTATTTGCTACCGACGGCGACCGTCGTTCATATGGTTTCGAAGATGCATTGTTCAACAAATAATAGGTACATTTTGATTTCGAAATAGAAATGTTTGGGCTCGTACATTCGCAGTAAAGAAAGCATCATTAATATGAATAGTGAATTGTCAAAAATTGCAGAAGACACAAAAGTTATTAACACAGAAAATATTCTTTATAGTAGCAATTGGATATGTTCATTTTAAGCTATTTGAAGTTGGAAATTTAAGACTTATTTAAAGGAGAAATCCACGCAATTTGAAATGTGTAGTAATTAATTTTGTACCACACAATACTACCAGAGACGTAACTCTATGGTACATCGATGTTAATTAACACCTCACCGACTGGTTACGATAACAGTAAGAAGATATCCTAAGTATCTGAATGTCTGTCTGATTCACAATATGTTCTTTTGAAGACACATGACAATATGACAATAGAATAACTAATAACGCCATTTGTTAATTAAAAACCAAAAAACTGTGTTTGTCACTCAAAGAACGAACACAAATCGAGACACCTCATTCATGAACACCTGATCAGTCGACTAAACGACCAAAGCCTAAAATTTAGTTGGCCACAATGTAACTTACATACCCACAAGCCCAGATGATTCATGTAAAAGTATGAAAATTATAACCTTCCCATATAATTCGAATAACTAAAATAATCTTACTAAT